TGAGTTCACTAAGGAAAAAAAATGTAATATACCAAACTGATTTCTGCTAGTACTTGTGAAGTATATGTGATTACATACAAAATTGCAGAATTTGTCCTTTTTTACTTTTCATAACCATATAGCAAACTAAACGAATTAATTTAAAATATTTTTCAAACTTCCAGTTTATTATAATTCAAGTTTTAAATTTTTTTCTTTATTTATGTTTGTACCTTAAAGAAATTTAACTCTATAATTAAAAAAAAAGTGTTATATTTAATGGTGAAATTAAAAACAAGTGAGAAGAAAAATAGAATTTACGATTCATTCAGTGCACTTATCAATATATCAATGTTGTCAAACAAATAAATATGAGATTAAAATATATTCACCAAATTTGGAAATATGGTGTGAATTAAAATAATTTCATTCATAATTGTAGCAGTTCGTAATAAATTATTTTCAAATCAGAAAAATAATCTACAGTGCAAAACATTTATAAAATATATGAAATCTAAAAAATATTTTAAATTAATTCGTTTAGTTTGCTTTATGGTTATGAAAAGTAAAAAAGGACAAATTCTGCAATTTTGTATGTAATCACATATACTTCACAAGCACTAGCAGAAATCAGTTTGGTATATTACATTTTTTTTTCCTTAGTGAACTCAAGTCGGTTTCAAGTCGACTAAAGTGAACACGAAAAAATCAAGTCGGTTTCAAGTCGACTAAAGTGAACACGAAAATATCAACTCGGTTAAAAGTCGACTAAAGTGAACATGAAAAAATCAACTCGGTTAAAAGTCGACTCGAGTGAACACGAAAAAAATGAGTTCACTCGAGCTGACTTGAAACCGATTAAAATTTTAGTGAAGTGAAGTGAGTTTGCTTCATCGACTTCGACCTCTGGAAAAACGTGGTATAAAAAATGAGATCCAATCAAAATATAAATCAGTCCTTAATCTTTAATATAGAGTAAATCCATAGACCATAGGTAAAATAGCTCGTGGAGAAAATTCTTCAGGACATGCATAGAGGTATTTTAAACCAGAATATAATAACGAATGACAAATACAAATTTACCTATTTGGAGAGTTTAATATCAAAAAATTCCTTTTTGAACCAATCTGAAAAGCAAGCATTTAAATCATATGTTCGATCATACGGCTCTCATCAGTTTAAGATAATCTTTAGTTTAGAACAATTGGATTTGCAACAAGTTGCAAAGAAAATTCGTTTTTAATCAACTTACTGGAAAAATATTTAGATAATAGCACAAAGAGTAAAAAGCATATAATTAAATAAAAGATTATCAATCAAGTATAAAAATTGACCAAATTTTGTAAATCAAAAATTTATTTATCTAAAGTATTTACATCAGTTTTTTTTTTTTAAAAAAATCTTAATAAAAAAACAGATACAAAACTATTTACCAATTCACCCACGATCTCACCATATTTGTATTTGCCAATGTGCTTTTTGGAAATAAATATTTTCCTTCGCCGAGCTTCATAGTATGAACAGCAAGCAAGCAGGTAAGAAAAAACATTCTTGGTGATGAAATCATTTTAAGCGGAGATCATCAAGTTGTTTTTGCTGTATTTTGCTTTTTATGGCCTAAAGTAAAATGGAAGTGAGCCAAATTGGCATGGGGTTTAAAAAAATATATTACCAATTTAAATTTCTACACAATTTTATCTTTCATCTATAGTATGAAGCTAATCGAAGAGGAATATGAATGAGTAAACATTATTTCACTGCCAGCAGCCCAATTATGGCATAGAGATGATAATTAACACCTACGAAAACTTTTCAACTCTTTTTTATGACAATGCATGAAAGATATTTACTTCAAAGAGGTTAATGAGGACGTTTTCTCAAGAGCATCCTGATTTGTCAGCGAACAGATGTTCATCGACCCTAACAAACTTATAATAATAAACATCAGAATTTTTAAGAACTTCCAAATTAAGCTAAGAAAGTGTGGGATCATTATTGAGTTGCCGGTTCCAGAAGATTGATTTCCATACTTCAAAGATTTCTCTCTTTGAGAATTTGTATGATCTGATCAAACAATCATTTTCACACAAAAACTTTTCAAAGCATTTTAAATGAGAACATTCATATTTTAGCTACTTAATTAATTACGAATGTCTCATTGTACGGGCAAAAAATGTATTCAAATAAAATTACAAAAAATGAAGCTTTAATCTACGACAATTGAAGTAAACATATGTCACTTTGCAACGTTCTTATGTTAAACCATTTTTTTCGTTCCTGCTTAAATTGAGTATATCTGGCATGTTAGATAAGATTAAAGGCATCAAGTTTGGAAAATTTAAATTTTTTTTCATGCTGTTGTATATTTTTCAAATTTTATGGTCACAGGTTGTAAGATAATTTGAAAAATTTCAATCAATTCATTCATATGACACAATGGCGAGTGAGCATACAAAGCTTATTTTATGAATGAGTTTATCTCCATCAGAAAATAAAGAAACTTAGCAAATCATGTTTGCGAATAGTCGTGGGCGATGACTTTATTAGGTAAATTGTTTGGTTGTGATCGTTGTGACAAATATCATCAAGGTCTAGTATTTGTTACACATCTATTTAAGCAAAGTTTGTTTTTTTTAAGTGTTTCGAGAGAAAGTGTTATTCGTTTTTTTTTTAAAAAAGGCATTGGTTTCAGTTTTAGAAAATTATGATCACATGCTGTGGAAAGTAAATTTAATTACTTTTACATTTTCAGGAAGATATATCTACTAATGTTTTGGTGAAACTTGCGAAAACTTTATCTAGTCAGTAATTCATCCAGTATTTGTTTACCATAATCTTACTAAGAAAGGTATATAATACTTTTGTATACTTGATGTTGATGTGTTAGAAAAGTAGATCCCACGCATGCATGTACACATGCTTTACATTTTCATTCCGTAGAGAAAATGAATCTTCCTGAAATTTTAGATATTGAGTTATTTTTAAGAGTCCGATGATTTAAAGTTATTAAAATGCGTTAAATCACGTTCAGTCGTGAATTCCAGTGCATAAACATAAATCATTTACTTCACATTTTCTGTGATTTGATTTGCAGCATATTTCCTTTTCTTATTCTTATTTCTAAATTAAAGAAATTTTCCCTATGTGAATGGAAAATGACGATACACAGGGATGAATTAAGGAAGGATTATAACCACTTTACTCCATTAATAAATTCAATCATTTTTCTACGGTTTTTTAACAAAAAATTCTGGATACGCCCCTCCCTCTCTGTCTGACGATTCATGTAACGTGGAAAAAGCGGATTTTTTTTCATCAGGTGCACTGTAAATCTTTTTACTTTTTGTAGAAAATCATAATTCATTTCAATGAGATTTATGGGCAAAACGAATGATCATTCTAAAGAATATGCTAATCTCATGTGGGCCCATGTGGGCATAAATTATTTCTCAACTTTATTACACTAAGTGTGTACTTCATTCATATTTTTTTTTTTTTGTCCCAAGGAAACTCACAAAATATTCTGCGAAATTTAAAAGTGTCAAAAGAATTGCTATGTTGTGGATGCATGTCTTTTTGTGTGCTTCCGAAATATTCCTTCCAGTAGTTGTAGCTCTATTTTGTGTGATCTATACAATCAGTTTATACAACGCTCAACCCAAAAATGCTTGTTGAAGGAGGAAATTGTTATAGTCATTAAAAAAATCCTTCATAAAAACAACTTGAATGTCCAAAGCATTTCTACAATCATTATTTTTTTTTAAGACTCATAAACCTATGACATAATAGTCCATTTTTGAAGATCTGTAGAGATCATTATTTGTTTTTTTCTTCATAAAGTTTTGTATGAATTACTGATGAAATCAAAAGATTTTACAGCTTTTAAAAAAGCGCTTTAGAATTTGCACTAAATGAATTTTGACATCAAGAAGTACTGTTTAATTGTGTTGTTAAATATTTTAGCATTGAATTAATTCATCGAACACATGGCACATTACCAGCTCCACACAGGCGCTAAAATTAAAATTAATTGAAATCGACATAAAACACTCAAACCTGCTCATATCAATTAATCGAGTAATTTAGACCACAACTTTGCTCTATTTCAATATGTTAGTGGAGTCTCGTTATCACAATCAAGTTTCTGTCCATAAAAATTGTTCGATTTTAGAGCTGTTATCTTTCATATGGAGAATTTTGATTGGAAAATAGAAGGAGCGTGGGAGTGTTCATTCAACGTGGGCTTAATCGATTCACTATGCATACTGTATTGTGTCTAATGTTCACACAAAATATGGGGACGAAGCATGTTTTTATGTAAACGATTTACAGCATTAGAAAAAAAATTATTTCTTTAATCTTCAACATACTGCAACATAATTTAATTAAAACGTTCAAAAATCGTGGGGGTCTTTATTGAAAATTGTTGAGTTACTATATTAAGCCAATCCATGTCAGTTGATGTAGGCAAATTAGTCGGTGCTTTTTCTGAGGATCACTATAGAAAACAATAGAACTGATCTCTTAAAGCTGGGCAAAATGGATCGTTCCTTACTCATTAATGTGATTCGTGTTCAATTGATGATAATTTCTGGATCGAAATCTTGCTATTCTTAAACCTATCTTTGTCAATCTATATTCAGCTGATTAAACATATTGGATACATTTTTATTTGGTCATTAAAGCCAGTTAAAGCTTGTTCTTCCACAATGCACACCGCCCAATTGAATATTTTTTAGTGCTTGGATGCATGTATGTGTGAGACGCGTGAGAGACTGTTGAGAATGAGTGATGAAGAGATTTTTCATTTTTATGATCATTCGATTTCATTTCTTTGAAAAGGAAACATCGCGTGAATTAACTAAACGATCTAACCAAATTAACTAGTGAAATTAATCTGAAAAGTATCTTAATTCATTGATATTTGTTTCCGTTTGTTATACACAAGTCTTCCATTAAACTTTAAAAATTATCTGATCGCGAAGTTTATAGCTTAAAAATTCCGATACAGAAGAAATTAAATGAAATAAGTGAAGAAACTTTTTTGGATGTTAAAGAAAAGTTTTAAAGATATTTAAATAGAGTAAATATTTACTAAATTGCTATCGAAATATAATTTTGTGTATATTAACTTGATTATTACTTTTTGAGAAAAGTATTTTTGTGTGACTAAAGTGATTTTCCCTACATTTAAAAAACAAAAAATCTTTCAAAATGATGATGATGACGAATCATATTCATCCAGCAATAGACAATTCTCAGCAGCAGTCTCCGCAATCGATTGCTGACTATTTGGCTCAGTTGCTAAAAGATCGTAAACAATTGGCTGCATTACCAAATGTCTTTACCCATTTAGAGAGACTTTTGGATGAAGGTAAGTTATTTCATTTTGTACTAGACAATTGAAGCTGCGTATTATTCAGTGTGGATTCAAATAAGACTTTATACAACATTTGTGTCTCATCATAAACCCTAATTATGTGCCTCACTAATGAAATAAACATAAAACGGGAAAAAGATGCAACTGTGAGAGCTTCTCGATTGTGTCTGACCCCGAGACGAGAAATAATAAGGAAAATAAATTCTTTTCTTCTTAAAATTAAAACAAAGTCTGTGAATTGTCAACCGTTGTTCCTAATGTTAATTAGTTTCTGTTGCTTTGTCCCTTGCTACTATTAATTATAATTTTAAAGTATGCTCTTTCTTTCGACATGTATTGAATGAAAAATCACAATTTTCGTGTAAATGTCGGGCAGGAAAATGCAGTCACAAAGAGAAGTAAAAAAGCGTTTTCCATTTTGTTTCCACATCTATAAATAAATAAAGAAAAAAAGAAACCATCATCATGAGGCGAACACAAAAATATCCGAGAGTGAGAGAATTTTTTTAAAAAAATATAATGTTAAGTTCGAAGTTTTTCAAAAAGTTAATTGTGGACAATTATTGTTTTAAATAGTTTTTTAAACTTAATATGAAACTCGTTTCACCTATTTTGAAACACTTTTGGTTAGAATGAAACATCGCAAAATAATAAAATTCAGATAATTTATTAACTATATAGACTTTATTCATTACGAGTAAATCGCGTTAAAAAAGCAGAGCTAATAACATTATCGTATCAACAGGTTCATAGCGTTTGTGTATGTGTTCTCTTTTTAAATGTCCGAATGAAAGCGTTTTATGTAGTTGTGGAACTTTATTTTTAGCGTTTGATATTTTTCTCGTTTCTGTAAAAGAACAGCAGAGCACAGAGAAAAAAACATAAAGTCAGTAGCAATTGAATCTACACGAAATTAATCTTCTTTTTTTTATCATTTATAAATGAAGAGATTTTAAATGTGATGAAATAATTTGTGTGATAAAAAAGTTTGATCTTATCAAGCATTTTTTGTTGCTTTCTTACATGATTTGAATGCAAAACTATATGTCTTATTTACAACTGAAAAACAACCAGATATTATTCATTGGAATTTCCTCTCTCGTTCGCTCTCTCTTTGCTACACACTATTCGTACTCATCACACACATTTATTTTATTTTCGTCATACATAAACATTCATAATGTGAGATTGTGAAACATAAAAAAATGTTGTTCAACCTTTAAAGCAAGTAAGCCAACATACATTGCAAGCAGGCAGGCAATAATGAAAAGCAAGAGAAATAAATACAATAAAAAAAAGAATAACAAATGTAAATTGAAACTGATAAAATTGAATGAATTTGGCAAAAATTTGGTGAATGAACCATTGAAATGATAATATTGAACAAAAAACAGGATATTGGCGTGGATAAAACATTAAAAATTACTTTTGATTGTAGGGACATTTCAGTTGCAAATTACATTCTTTTCCACATGTCCAGATTCAAAGAGATATATTTTATGGTGTATTGCTTTACAGTGCACAAGTACATTTTATATTTGTCGCAATCTTTCTCAGTATGTATATTAAAAGTTAAAGTAAATAAAATAAGTAGAGATTTTAAAATTCCGGTCATATTGGTTCAATTTTCATTTCTTGTTTTTCATGTATTTTGTGCCGAATGACTTTTTTTTTAATTACAAACACGATTTTTGCGATTTTTCGTTGGTACATATTTATATATATTACTTTGCTCTTTGCGCTTCTTATTAAAATGATAATCATTCACTACTTCTTTTTGGCAATAAAAATTTCATACATTAATGTTTCATTGGTATGTTTATGCTTTTTAAAAAAAAAAACAATAAAATTGTTTTTATACACGCTGAATCTTTTAGTTCAAAAGAGTACACAGAGAAGAAAAAAATCTTAAATAATTTATGTCAGTGAGAAACATATGGTTGCAAGATGTCTTTTTTCTTGCCTATTGGTTTTTTTTTTGCAAAAATGAAAGAGAGTTTGTAGATTTTATGAAACCTAGTAAAATTAAAAACGTTGATGTATGAGCGAAAAAAATATAAGAGATTTTATCAATAGATATCCCCATTTCCTTAGCTTCATTTTGAATAAATATTTATAAATCAGATTTAAATAGATAAAACATTAAAACAAAGATTTGTATTCCGCAACGTGTGATTGATATTTTTCAGAAGTTTTACAAAAAAGTTGTTTAGGCTAATGTTTGCAAAGGCATTTGGAAAATGATGAATCGATCCTTGTTGTATAAATAAAATCAGTTTATATTCAACTCAAGCAAAAGCTCAATAGGAAAATTTAAAGAGTTATATTTAATTGATTCTTTTTACTTTATTTATCAGTTTCAATCGACGGTTTTTGGCTTTAAACGCAGAATGTGATGGTCAATTACCCTTTTTGGTCCAATTATAGCAAAAAATTTATTTCAATTGATTGTTATACGCTTTTTATAGCTATTTAATTTTATTTAATTTATCGGACAGCTTCCATTTTCTTCCTCATCAAATGTCTTAAATGAGAAAATTCATTTACTCAACTAGCTTTGAGAAAAGTTATAGAACCGCACAGTTTCGAATTAACTATAATTATTATCATTCATAGCAAACGAGAAACAAATATGAACAATTTAGTCTATATTTTTACTTATAGATTCTTTTAATTTTAATTGGAATTTAAATGATATTTATTAAAATACATTCTTGTTCCTTTTTTGCTTGGATATTTAATTGAATTTCAATGCTTCTGCCTACAATGATTCTGTTAATTGTTGTCGCTGGCTTGTCGCTCGTGTCAGAATTGAAATTGTGCGTTTAATGGAATTTTTAAGTTTAACACAGAGGATAAAAGAAAGAAGGCAACCACCATTCTGTTATAATAGCTCCTCCTCTCCTTTCATAAAATTACGAGAAAAATGTCGCGCATGCTATTAAGGAAATTCTATTGAAGTAAATTCCTATTTAATAATGAATAAACTAGTTGAAAAATAATATGCTAAGTAAGTCTTTCTTCTTTCACATTAAATTATGTTTCTGTTGCTTTTATGTTTCATTTTCAAAGCTCTTTGAGCGTATAATTGTATTTGAGGTAAAAAAATTACAATAATAAAACTACATGGAAATTACCTTTACAGATATAATTCGTGCTCTTCGTGTGAGCAATTTGATAAACTACAAAGCATGATATAATAAGAAGAAGAAAAGAAAGAAATTAAAATTTTGTAATAATAAAAGCAAAAGTGATTTTCTGTCTTTTTCACTTGATTTTAATTTCTCCTTTTAATCTCATTTGCTATAATATGAGTGCTTTTTCATTAACTGCTTCTTTTTTGATTTGAAATTAAAAGTAGTTGCAAATGCGTTACACGTACTAAATAAATACATATGACTACTATTTTGTTCTCTCATCTCTGCACATGTTAGTATGTACGCCTGCCATCACGAATCTAATTTAAAAATTCACCTTTGATGATAATAAACTATGCGTAAAATAGAGCGAGTTGTCGTCGCAATGTAAAGAACAAAAAAAGACTCTTATGGCGTAATGATTGAGTTAACGGCAACAAAAAAATAAAAAAAAATATACTACATAAAACAGACTAAAATACATGAATTTTAAATATATTGAAATCATCTTTGAGGTTGTTTTTGCATAATAAATTTAATTAAATCAAGAGAAGTATACATTATAATATAAAAGTTCTTTTTCAAAAGTGCCGGTTGCTGCGGAAAATTGGAATGAATCTTTTCTTTATGGTTAAGGAAATACTAAGTTTTGATGAAAATAGTGGAAAATTAATTTATTTTTGTCAGTCATGTGGCGCATAGTCACGTTAAATCTCATTCAATACAAATTTTAATTTATTCAAAAAGATTAAAGTAGATTTAAAACACTTTCTTCCTTTATGGGACATTGCTTCTTTTTAAGGTTTTGATCCTACAAATACACTCTCGCCCTAACAATGCGTAATGTACAGATCTTAATGTTTATATGAAGTATTAAATACACGGCTTTACGTAAGTGATAAAAATTAGAATTAGACGGAGAAGTGAAGAAGAAATCGAGTAATTTTAGGAATTAACATAAACATTAAACAAAAAAAAAGCATCATTGTTATGGTTCGTAAAATTTTGAATTAATTTGTTACTCTTTTCTCTCTCCCCCTTTTATGTTTAAGACTTTAAACCACATATTTGTGAGATTGTCTGTCTGTTGCAAAAGATATCTAGCTTGAGTATTTTTGAATTAAAATTTAATTTTTTTTTCTCTGAGAAATTTTTTAAGCTCATTTTTTTTTGTAACATTAAGTTATTGTGTAATTTATCTAATTAAAGAATTCCATTTAGAAATATGCAGCATATTCGTAAGGTATGTCTTAAAATTTGCTTTAAATAATTCAAGTCACACGCTTTAATAACAAAAAAAATTGGCAACAACGCATAAAGTCGGTAAATATATTCTTTATCTATTAGCTGTTTCTTGAATATCTTGGAATATCCACTACTTATATGCCAAAACAAATTTTTTAAACAGTCTGAACTATATTTCATTTTATTGCTTCCATGACTGAATGAAATCACAACAATGTATACACAAGCATTAATGATCAAAATGGTCAAAATAAAAAAATGTGTGTAATGATCCATAAGTGCATTGAGCTACATTATAATATTGAAATCTACTTTAAAAAATAAACTAAATTGATTTGCAAGTGATAAGGGGGATTAACATATGAGTTCAGCAACATTGTAAACAGTCCGTCAATAAATGTCTTGATGCATGTTCACTGAAAAAATCTGCAGTAGCTTATCGAAACAAAGTTTCTTGTTTGAAAAAAAAAATACACATTTGGTCAAGAAAAAGACAGTCATAAGACATCCTTACTTAATGTCATGAAATATAAAAAAGAGAAGTAACAAAATTCTTATTGTGTAAATATCACAACTTTTATACAAAATTGAAAAAAAAAATATACGAAATTA